CTGCAACATGGCCAGCTGTTTCTCTACCGCTGAGTCAGCGAGAACCAGATCGGATTGAAGGGTCGCCTGGATGATGCCTAGAAGCAGGGTTCTGCATTCAGCGTGGAGCCCTTCGGTGGAGCAGACAGCGTCGACAATCAGCTGCAGCTTCACGGCAAGTGCTGTCCACACTCGGGAGGTAGGGCTGGCAGACGACGCAATAGCTGCAAGCAATTCCGCAGCTGCGATCCACACTTCAGCCTCTGCTGGTCCCGTTGCAGAATCCTGCGTACGCATTGCCTGGCGGAGCACCTCCAACGCCTTGGACAGCAGCTCGACGGCGCCTGCCTCGTCCATGAAAGGAGTGAGGTTTGCCATGCAGCGCAAGTAGTCGACGTCTACGGCCTTGCTGCGACCGTCAACCTTATCGAGGGTAGCCCTGACGATCTGCGCTTGGTCTTTGTGGCGCGGGTCGAGGTATTTGATCGCCAGCTCGCTGATGCGGCGCAGCAGCGACTTTGAAACGTGCGGCGAGGCAGTGCGATTCAGCAGCGCGACAGAGTCGACGAAGAGGAACTGCCTAGCTTCTTCGTGGATGAGATACTCTGAGGCGTCGGCTGCAGCGACGAACGAAGAGGCGTGGGGAAGAAGGTATCTTTCGTCCTGCATGCCCCGGCCACGGCTCACGGCAGTCCACAACGCCAGGCGAGCGTTGCTCTTCGCGAGCCATGGCACCAGCGTGGGCTGGTCCAGGAGTTCCTCCTCGCTGGTCGTAGCCATGAAGTCATCCTGTGCCGGAGGCACGAAGCGGGCGTTCAAAGGCAGGTGAAGGACCGGAATTGCTCCGAAAAGGACTTCGGGCCCGAAGAGCGCAGTCGCGACGTTCTCTGCGACCGGATCCAACTCGCCCAGAATCTGGGACGCGAGCGCGTAACCACTGGCTTGGAGGTCCTGGACCACTGTGTACAGCGATGAGATCTGCGACTGAGTTAGCGGCCGCTTGACGCTTCGAAGCCGCGTTTTGAGGTCCCTCGGATCGGTGCAGTCTGGTGAGTGCAGTCAAATGTCAACACAATCAGCGTCAGCAACGAGGTACTCGCGAAGAGGTCAGAGAGCAAGAGCAAGTGTCCGTGTCGAAAGGTCATGACGCCGCACAACCACGTAGGTGGTGGCGACGACTTCAGAGTTATCGGCAAGCCATACCTGCAGCAGTCAAGCCGCACGATGTACTTTGGTGTAGCGGTTCTGATGTATGGGAAATTCTAATCATCCCAATCGACACGAATGCACTTGCACCCTGCAAGCAGCATAGGTACTTACCAGCAAACGTAGTCGAGGCGATCTCGATAGACCGCTTTGACTTGCTGCCAGACTCGAATGCGGGTTCGGGAGCGATTCGAATGGCGCGGACATTGCTCTCGCACACAGCAGCAGTGTACTGCGACGATGCGTACTTGTTGTTGCCTGCAATGTGACCGTTGATCTTGAATGCCATCGCCTCGAATGTAGAGGTGTGGCGCGCGTATGCGCAGAGAGTGGGCAGCAGACGCGCGAAGAACGCCGTAAAACCCTCGACCGACTCTGCATCATCAAAGAGACCTTTGTCGATGCGGATGCAGAATTGCTCGAGAAGCGCCATGAGCCAAGGCGAGGCGAGCAGATCGGCCCCGCTCGTCGCCTGTGACTCGTCATCTTCCGCGTCCTTGCTTCCGTTTTCACGGAGGAATTGGCGCGATGCTTCGATGTAGCGGTACGGCGTCTTTGCGCAGCGAAGCAGGCATTCGTCGAGGAAAGCAATCACTGCCCGCTGTTCTGACGAGATCTGCTGCTGCGAAGGCGCCACGCTTGGCTTGGATCCAAACTCGTCGTCCGCCTGGGACGCGACACGCGTGTCGGCTTGCGGCAGGCTCGAAAGCCATGCATCGATCTCAGCCGAATCATGCTCGAAGAACGACGAGGGTGCCAGAAGCGATCTTAGCAGCTGCTCGCAGGCAGTCTTGACCTGCTCCAGCGGGGTAGAGATGTATAGCGTCAACAGCATGCCGAGGTAGCTTAGGTTATCGGCGCCTGTCGTGCCGGTGGGCTTGGCTGTCCAGTCGAAGGACGCGGCGCGCGCAGCGTGCGAAAGGATACGAAGCGTGTGCACCTGGCAGAGCGCGCCGAGATCAATCTCGTTGATGTCCTCTTCGTCGTCCCCTGCATCACTGTCGCTTGCCCCGGCGTCCTCAGCCTCATTCGCGACGTCCTCTGTGTCCATATCGTCTGCCGTCTTTCCAGGCGACGGTGCCGAAGCTTGGATGAAGGAGTTGGAGAGCAGCTTGCCTGCGTTGAAGCGAACATCGAAGGCCGAGCTTGGTACTGCCTGATAGTAGAGCGAAAGCAAACGAAGTGCGACCTCGGTCGACAGCATGTTCAAGTTCTCGCTTGCGCCCTCTGCACGGTCGTCGAGTTCATCTCCGGCCGTAGACGAATCTGCCGCAGCCGATGCTTGGGGTCTAGAGGTCGCCACCTGCAGAATTTGGATGACGATCGAGATGTCCGGGATGCGTCGACGGGCCTCCATCTCGAGAAGTTCCAAGTGGCGACGCCAGGGTCCGTGCTCGTCCTCGTCAAGCTCGTCGATGGCGCCGAGGCAGACGTCGCGATATCGGACCATGCGGTCCAGGCAGCGGCACAAAAGGGCGCATGTCGAGTGACGCACAAGCTTGTCCGTGCTAGTGAGGCCCTGGCTGAACAGGAAGCGATGGAGCGGTCCAGGCAAGAGGTTGGCCAGCACCGTGTTGATCGGCGGTGGTTCCGAGGCGATGAGGCGATGCGAGAGCGGGACAATCGCGCTGGAGGTGCCGGCGTCTTCGGATTCGAGATGCTCGACCTTGGCGTTGCGGAAGGATGGGAGATCGAGACCAGCTACCCTGCCGAAGAACGCCACATTGCAAAGCCATCTGGAGCTGGGTCTGGGGTCGACGCTCAGACCGGCGCAGGAGCTCTCCAGATAGGGACCAACCAGCTCGGGGCAAGCCGTGAGGATGCTGAGGGCAAGCTCCTGTTGTCGAAGATCCTCAGCCACCGCGAGTTGGCGCAGCACGCCCGAGAGCACCTTGTTGTAGATGGAGCCACCGATGCTGATCGAAGTCGGTTTGGCTTTCTGTGTCGAGCCCATCTCAAACGAGAAGCTGTCTTTGTCGAGACCGTTTGCAGCGCCGTCGGCCTTGCCTGTACCAGCAGCCTCGTCGGTGTCGCCACGAGCTGAGGCTTTTCTCGGGTACCAGCCTCGATCCGGGTAGCAAATTCCGAAGCCTGGGTTGGTGCAAATGCTGAGCAAGAAGTGGTGCGCGAGTTCCGCCACGGACGGGTTCTCGACGGCATCCGTGTCGGCATGGATGAGCACATGCTCTTCCTCACGCGGGTAGAGCTGGACGACACAGCCGCACGCCCACTCGTTCCAGAACTCGACCTTCTTGGAGCGCGGGATGCGCTGGTCCTTGACGAGGTCCTCGTGCAGATGAAGAAGGATGGTCTGGACCACGTCTGGCGGATCCTGAGGCAAGCCTTTGAGCATGGCCGGCAAGAAGTCACGTCCGAGGTCGAGTAGTCGGATCTTGAGTGTGTTCGAGTAGCTCTGCTGCAAGAAGGAGAGGAGGAAGAGAATGTAGAGCGTGCGGATGTCCGGGCGGCGGAGCGAGACGTCGAGTGCGACGCTTGGCTTCTTGGCGGCCTTGGACTTGCGATTGGTCCGCCTGCGCATGCTGAAGATGTGCGGGAGCACCTTCATGGACCAGTTAAACGAATCGAAGAGCTTGACGGCGTAGCGGCCTTTGGCGAAGGTAGAGACTTCGCGAAGGAGAATTAGGGATGCCAGCGCAGCGACATCTGAGCCCTTGGAGGTTCGAGAGTCACGTTGCTTGGAAGATGCAAACTTGGCGCCTCCAAGGTTGGAGATGTAGTTGTGAAGCATGGCAAGCCAAGGCTCGTTGGGAGACAGGATGCGCTCGATGATGTTGGATCCGAGGGTGTGAGTAGGATAATGGACCGAGAGAAGCGCCAGAGACTGAGCCAGGCAGAAGATGGGGAGGTGCAGCAGTGTAGGCAGGTCTTGGCGATCGGCGAGCTCCCACGTGGAGAAGATGGAGGCTGCGGCAGCTGTAGGTGCGCCAGAGTTGGACGCCTGCGTTTCGCACAGCTGGCAGTAGTCCTTGACGAGCTGGATTCGCTTGTCGCTGGCGGGGATGGTGGAGCGCTGGG